CTCTCTCTCTCTCTCTCTCTCTCTCTCTCTCTCTCTCTCTCTCTCTCTCTCGTGACAAGTGAACAGAATATCGAGGTGTCGACCCTTGACTATTCTTGTGCTCAATGATCAACACTGTTTTTAGCACTCAATATAAATAATGAAAATTATTTCTAGAAACTATTACTCTGCTAAATTATGATTTTCATTATTATTATTATAATGGAAAATAACTACAGGCATAACTAACCTTGACCGAAAAGACCTATATTTTTTTGTTTTTTTTAATTTTTTCACTACTTTGGCTTTTCTACTTTACAATGTTTTTTTAAAATATTTAATTGTAATTTACGATGTGAATATCTTAATGTTTATTTCTGCTCACAGACAAAAGGAAACCAAATGTGATAAATGGTTTTCCCATATGTTGTATAAATGTCTCAATCTTCAAAAGGCCCAGGTGTATTTTTGGCTTTATTATTAATCAGTCGACTGACTTCAAATGTGGAACAATTAGGCATGTTTACACCACCGTGCTTAAGGTAAGATTTCGTTCGGATTTTTAACCCCGGAGGGTTAGCCACCCAGGATAACCCAAGAAAGTCAGTGCGTCATCGAGGACTGTCTAACTTATTTCCATTGGGGTCCTTTTAATCTTGTCCCCCAGGATGCGACCCACACCAGTCGACTAACACCCAGGTACCTATTTGCTGCTAGGTGAACAGGACAACAGGTGTAAGGAAACTTGTCGAAACGTTTCCACCCGCCGAGAATCGAACCCGAGCCCTTCGTGTGTGAAGCGGGAGCTTTTGCCACCAGGCCACCGGGCCTGAATTTCAGGAACAATGGAACAATTACCCTCTGTGGAAATAAACAGTCACAGTGGCATTTTCTTTGTCAGAACTCAGAAATAGACACAGAAATGTATTTCCTGATGTAATAATGTTGGTAAAATTACCGACAATATGTTCGGTAAAAGGATACAAGTGCAGCTAATGTGACATTTTATTGTGGCTTAATAAAGCTCCTGGAGAGCGAAACGTTGCACAGTAAAATGTCGCATCAGTTGCACTTGTGATCTTTTACCTATCTCCCAATGTTGCTCTTTGCTAGATGATAATGACTCAGTAATTTAATAACCGCTGGCTTACCAGTGCTGTATACCCGTACCTTACCTGTACCGTATACTTAAGATGAAGCGACCGCTAGGCTGCCGGCCCTATATATCCCATAGCTATTCATCCGCAAAAATTGTCAAAATTAATACCCCATCCCAATTTTAAAAAAAGGCTCACCATATATATCAAACTCTGAACAAGTTTACTCGTTCTGCCAACTACCGTGTTAGTGAGGCTCGGTACACAACACTACTTAACAGATACCTTGCCTAGCGAAAATTCTCATCAACTTCTTGAACTTTCTCTGCAAAAGTGTTTACACTCCGAGATTTACTGCGATAATAGGAAGCTGTTACTGCGGACGAGAGAGTCCACAATAAGAGGAAAACAATGTATTTTATGTAGGTGTGCATTTGATTATTAGGGATATATATATAAATATATATATATATATATATATATATATATATATATATATATATATATATATATATATATATATATATATTATATATATATATATATATATATGTCGTGCCGAATAGGCAAAACTTGCGATCTTGGCTTAAATAGCAACGCTCATCTTGCCATATAGGACAAGTGAAAATTTGTGTATGCAATAATTTCGCCAAAATCATTCTGAACCTAACGAAAAAAAATATATTTCACTGTGTTTGTTTAGTATTAAATTATTGTAAACAAATCTAAAATATATTTAGTTGGGTTAGGCTAAAATAAATTGTTCTTGTTATAATAAGGTTAGGTAAGTTTTCTAAGATTCTACTGAAGCAATATTATAAATTTTTACATTAACATTAATGAAAAAAAATATATCTTTAAACACATAAGAGAAAATTTTAGAAAGGACTTAATTTTAAATGAGTTCTTGCTAATTGGCCAGTTTTACATATTCGGCACGACATATATATATATATATATATATATATATATATATATATATATATAATATATATATATATATATATATATGTGTGTGTGTGTGTGTGTGTGTGTGTTTAGAATTCGCAGAACAGGCGAAATATTCACAAACACAAATCTCAGGTCGAAAGAGACTCGAACCTACGAACCTTGAAACAAGGTACGCAGTGCTCCACCATCGTACCACACTAGACCAATACCTTGACGTCTATCCAACGCTAGACGTTTTGATTCAAGGCAGCCAGCATTCATATATATATATATATATATATATATATATAATATATATATATATATATATATATATATATATATATATATATATATATATATATATAAGGCACAAACATGAATTCAGTAGTGGAATATATCAAAGATTGTAAATCTGCTCTGGGGAAATGGAAAGGAATTCTTCCTTATTATATATATATATATATATATATATATATATATATATATATATAATATATATATATATATATATATTCTTCCTTATATATATATATATATATATATATATATATATATATATATATATATATATATATATTATATATATATAAGTCGACGTTAGTTGTTAATAGGTTTTTGTCTGAGAGATGAAGACATAGTTGCTAACACAGACACAAATACACAATTACAAACGCATATACATACACAGAATCAGTCACAATTACACACACAGAAACATCTACAGAAAAAGTTGCAGACAGGGTGACAGAAACACAACGTCTTATGCAAGGGTTTATTGCTAATGAAAGCGGCAGATCCTTCGCTAAACTTTACATTTTATAACTATTTGCATAGATGATACAGGCTGGTCTGTACTATGTTCACTGCATAGTAGTAGTGGTGTGCTAGTGGCTAGTTTGTCTTGATATTATCAATCACTGTTGCAAGTAATACGTTTAGTCATTGCTATTTATTTTCCCAGTAATATCAGAATAGCTAACTCTTCATTGTAATATTAATATGGCTAAATATTTTAAGAAATATTGTTCCAGCTAGAATGTTATTGTACTATATTAACAACATGATTTTCTAATATATTCCAACTATATGCCTAGAGCTAAGTTATCATATAGGTAAGGCTGACATATTATTGTAATAATTCACTTAACACTTTAACAAGTGTCAGTACTAGGACAACAACTAACATAACATACAAGCAGTAGTGAATCACTAGCTAATAGTAATTGTGGGTATTTCCTCAGTAATATTACTGCTAACACGCCGCCATAAAATCTTCCCGAAGACAAAAAACCCACTGATATTCTGTTTACATCTGTGCATCCATGTTTCTCCTTTCAAAGAGGAAAATATTTGATTTTCATTCATACCTGTAGAGAAATAAGATGAAAGTACGATGTAAACGACGTGTCGTCTTGCACTTAAACTGGATAAAGTCGCGAGCGACACCAGTCGAAGAGGGATCGATAAATCGTTTGAAAATCCCTTTTTAAATTAGGGCGTAGCTGTGAATTCTTACAGCCACGGTATTAGGACTTACATTTTGAAAAATTATTTAAAAAAAATAGGCAGAAATTCTGATGGAAAAATACGGATACACAGATATGCAGACAAGTCGGAAAATTACGAAAAGAAAAAATCAGCGGCAGACAATCTTTCATTCTTTTTGTTTTTGTTCTGTTTCACCAAACAACGTTTTGTCGGAAACGTTTAATATCTAAAGTTCAGGTCAGGTCGTTAGCGCAAAGGAGACACAGGAATAAAAGAGCGTGGCGGACGTAAGATTAAGTTATACTTATGCTAAATATATGTATATATTACAAGGGAATAGATTTTAATATATAAATGAATAATAAAGTATTGATTTAGTTATATTATCAATTGTGAATAATACAAAAAGGGGCTTTTATATATATAAAGTGACTAATGGAGTGTGTAATTGTACGCTGGAAGAGAGAACTATTATATATATATATTATATATATATATATATATATATATATATATATATATATATATATATACTATTTAATTATATCTGGCTATGACTATCATACACAACAAGTTATTTATTGTAGTACAGAATACAGCAACTGTAGTTTTTTTTATAACTACACAGGATTACTGTTATGTTCTATTACCTAAAGGTAAACAAATCATTATTTGAAACTAGAGCAATTTGTTAATGTATTGAATAAATCATCAAAAAAATATATATAGGAGACGTGGAATGTATTATTTATAAATGTAAGTTAGATTTCATGTTAGCTTTTAAGATGAAACAATGCCATTACTTCCTCTGTATTACAAAGTCATTACCTCTGTATTACAAAGTCATTACTGTATTCAATATTACCTCTGTATTACAAAGTCATTACCTCTGTATTACAAAGTCATTACCTCTGTATTACAAAGTCATTACCTCTGTATTACAAAGTCATTACCTCTGTATTACAAAGTCATTACCTCTGTATTACAAAGTCATTACCTCTGTATTACAAAGTCATTACCTCTGTATTACAAAGTCATTACCTCTGTATTACAAAAGTCATTACCTCTGTATTACAAAGTCATTACCTCTGTATTACAAAGTCATTACCTCTGTATTACAAAGTCATTACCTCTGTATTACAAAGTCATTACCTCTGTATTACAAAGTCATTACCTCTGTATTACAAAGTCATTACCTCTGTATTACAAAGTCATTACCTCTGTATTACAAAGTCATTACCTCTGTATTACAAAGTCATTACCTCTGTATTACAAAGTCATTACCTCTGTATTACAAAGTCATTACCTCTGTATTACAAAGTCATTACCTCTGTATTACAAAGTCATTACCTCTGTATTACAAAGTCATTACCTCTGTATTACAAAGTCATTACCTCTGTATTACAAAGTCATTACCTCTGTATTACAAAGTCATTACCTCTGTATTACAAAGTCATTACCTCTGTATTACAAAGTCATTACCTCTGTATTACAAAGTCATTACCTCTGTATTACAAAGTCATTACCTCTGTATTACAAAGTCATTACCTCTGTATTACAAAGTCATTACCTCTGTATTACAAAGTCATTACCTCTGTATTACAAAGGTCACAGTCGGTACGCTTGTATGACATGATGCATTATTTTCGTAGAATTTATTTCACAATATTTTAATATTTCACACACACACACACACACACACACACACACACACACACACACACACATAAACAATTAGGTGAGTACTTGTGTAAGAAGGGCGGTATAGGATTGAAACCCGTGTCACAGTCAGTGGACTCGCCCCATCACTGAACCAACGGGATTAAATTCCACACAGACCCTCCTTCACATCTTTTAACCTCACTCTGTTATCAACCATTAAGTTGCATATAACTATTTAGTTAATGAAACATGTCCACATCCATTCCCTTTATGAGTTCTTTTTATGCAAATAAATTTTAAAGTCTAGAGCTGTTATCTTACCTCAGCTCAAGTCAGCCTTATCTAAGAAATGCTACCAACACCACTAGGATGCGACCCTCAACAGTCGACTAACACCCAAGTACATACTTACTGCTGGGTGAATAGGGGTAGCAGGTTTAAGGGAACATGCCTAATGTTTTCATCCGGCCGGGGATCGAACCACGGGCACTCAGAATGTGAGCTGGATGTGTTGCCAATTCTTGCTTCAGTATCTTTCTTGGCTGCCTCTCAAAAAGTTACGGGTTGGGAGGGCAGATTTATTGGCACTGGTTCTTCCTTCCACTTTTGCTCTCAAGCAACGACAATTTTAAAAATAATAATAATAATAAATAATGGTAAAATACTACTACTAACAACAACAATAATAATAACAATAATAATAATATCATAAAAAATAATAATAATCACAACGAACCCCGAACTGGAAATAGAAGCATCATGCCTTCCATTTCTAATTTGCGAGTTAGATGTGAGATATTGCAGCCACGATATTGTGACTGTTATTTCCTCATAATCCAAAAATATTTGTGTGGATTTTGGATTCCTCGCGTTCAATCTTATGCTCAATAATAACCTACATGGAGAGAGTATCACAGAAGATTAACTGGTCTGTATTTCGACCCCCCTCTGGAATCCTCTTCAGCAGATACATAAACTAAATGAGAACAAGAATATATATTGGTTACACTTCACCCCGTAAGTGTACGGGGTGAAGTGTAACTTCCAGAAGGAAATAGAAATATACAGATTAATTAATCTTCTGTTTCTGTCTCCATATGGGTTATTATCGAACACTGACAAGTATTCATCACACTTTAGTTATTCCATCTTGTTTTAAGTTACGTGTGAAGGGATGTAGGTAGTTTACAAAACTGTATCTTCGTATCTTCCTGGGGTGACAGCAACTGGTCCAACAAAGAGGATCACTTTCATGAGCTAGGACTGAACCAGTTCCAATTCCTCGGATTAAGACATTTTTACCCCCTTGGAGCCTTCATTTCAGACATTTCGCTCAAGTTTTGATTAAAGTTGCACAAGCAAGCAAGCACTTAGCACGTTTTATGAACCACAACTTGTTTTCAAAGGCAAGGCTTTCAGCATTCCAGACTGCCAGCATTCCAAACTATCAACATTCCAGACTGCCAGCATTCCAGACTATCAGCATTCCAGACTGCCAGCATTCCAGTCTATCAGCATTCCAGACTGTCAGCATTCCAGATTATCAGCATTCCAGACTGCCATCATTCCAGACTGCCAGCATTCCAGACTATCAACATTCCAGACTGTCAGCATTCCAGACTGCCAGCATTCCAGACTGCCATCATTCCAGACTGCCAGCATTCCAGACTATCAACATTCCAGACTGTCAGCATTCCAGACTGCCAGCATTCCAACCTATCAGCATTCCAGACTGACAGCATTCCAGACTGTCAGCATTCCATACTATCAGCATTCCAGACTGCCAGCATTCCAGACTGTCAGTATTCCAGACTATCAGCATTCCAAACTGCCATCATTCCAGAGTGCCAGCATTCCAGCCTATCAGCATTTCAGACTGCCAGTATTCCAGACTGTCAGCATTCCAGACTGCCAGCATTCCAGACTGCCAGCATTTCAGACTGCCAGCATTCCAGACTGTCAGCATTCCAGACTATCAGCATTCCAGACTGCCAGCATTTCTCTCGAGACTGAACCTTATAAGGAGAGCAGTGTTGAGGTCTTCCTTCACACTCACTTCCTCACAAAATAAAAAAAATAAAAATTTTGATTTCTTTGTATAGTTTACAAACGGTATTTTACATATTATAAAGTATTGATAAGCATAAAGAAAGTCTCAGTCTTAATTTTTCACTGACTTACGATGCTTGTATTGTGTTTCTTTACGAATTGTCTGGCACACAGTGTTGCCAGGTGGTAGAGTTGTATAAGCTTGTTTGACACACAGTGCTGCCAGGTGGTAGAGTTGTAAAAGCTTGTTGTTTGACACACAGTGTTGCCAGGTGGTAGAGTTGTAAAAGCTTGTTGTTTGACACACAGTGTTGCCAGGTGGTAGAGTTGTAAAAGCTTGTTGTTTGACACACACTGTTGCCAGGTGGTAGAGTTGTAAAAGCTTGTTGCTTGACACACAGTGTTGCCAGGTGGTAGAGTTGTAAAAGCTTGTTGTTTGACACACAGTGTTGCCAGGTGGTAGAGCTGTAAAAGCTTGTTGTTTGACACACAGTGTTGCCAGTTGGTAGAGTTGTAAAAGCTTGTTGCTTGACACACAGTGTTGCCAGGTGGTAGAGTTGTAAAAGCTTGTTGCTTGACACACAGTGTTGCCAGGTGGTAGAGTTGTAAAAGCTTGTTGTTTGACACACAGTGTTGCCAGGTGGTCGAGTTGTAAAAGCTTGTTGTTTGACACACAGTGTTGCCAGGTGGTAGAGTTGTACAGACTGGTCCTCTGACACACAGTGTTGCCAGATGGAAGGGGGCTGGTCCTCTGACACAGTGATGCCAGATGATGGGGTTGTATACACTGATCTTCTGACACACAGTGTTGCCAGGTGGTAGGGTTGTTAACCAGTCAATACCGGCTCCTCCAAGTACCTGTAACCAAGAGACAAAAACGCATTATAGTCTTCTGCGACCGAATAGAATAGTAAAATGTGTGTGTGTATGTTTATGTGTGTGTATGTTTGTGTGTGTGTATGCGTGTGTGTGTGTATGTGTGTGTGTGTACTCACCTAGGTGAGGTTGCAGAGGTCGAGTCCTAGCTCCTGGCCCCGCCTCTTCACTGGTCGCTACTAAGTCACTCTCCTTGAACCGTGAGCTTTATCATACCTCTGTGTGTGTGTGTGTGTGTGTGTGTGTGTGTGTGTGTGTGTGTGGTGTGTTGTGTGTATGTGTGTATGTGTGTGTGTGTGTGTGTGTGTGTGTGTGTGTGTTGTGTGTGTGTGTGTGTGTGTGTGTGTGTGTGTGTGTGTGTGTGTGTGTGTGTGTGTGTATGTGTGTGTGTGTGTGTATGTGTGTGTGTGTGTGTGTGTGTGTGTGTGTGTGTGTGTGTGTGTGTGTGTGTGTGTGTATGTGTGTGTGTGTGTGTGTGTGTGTGTGTGTGTGTGTATGTGTGTGTGTGTGTGTGTGTGTGTGTGTGTGTGTGTGTGTGTGTGTGTGTGTGTGTGTGTGTGTCGTGCCGAATAAGTAAAACTTGCGAGTTTGGCTTAAATAGCAACGAATTTCTTGCTGAATAAGACAAGTGAAAATTTGTGTATGCAATTAATTCGCAAAAATCATTCTGAACCTAACGAAAAAAATATATTTCATTGTGTTTGTTTATTATTAAATTACTGTAAACTTATATAAAATATATTTAGTTGAAGTAACGTAAATTAAACAGCGCTTGTTATAATATTAGTTAAGTTTCCTAAGGTTCTTTTAATACAAAATCATTAATTTTACTATAAACATAGATGAAAAAAATCTTTAAATGTGTAAGTGAAAATTTTAGGAAGGACTCAATTTTAAATGAGTTCATACTAATTGACCAGTTTTACCTATTCGGCACGACATTATATATATATATATATATATATATATATATATATATATATATATATATATATATATATATATATATATATATATATATATATATATATATATATATGTAGGGAGGTACCACCTCTAGAACTGTCCTAGGGACCCTTATCCTCAGAGAAAAGAATAAACTTGCTTCAGGGAACACTCAAGGTTCTCCCTGAAGCTGTTTGAGAATTTTCTCTTACCACCCCCTATATTTAATTAATAATATTTTATTTAAAGACAAAATACATTGACAAAACATTCACAAAGATACAATAGAAAGTAAAACAACATAGGTAACTCAGAGCTACATCTCGAATACTTCGTCCAGCTCCCCGGCGGTGGGCCGCGTGCCCAGAACGCTGCAGGCATTTCCTCTCTGGATCGCAACACTGAGTCTCTGAAAGAGGAAGCTGGTCGCCCTGTGGTCCTTGGTTTCTATGATGAGCTTTTCACCCAGCTCTTTGATGAACTTTAGAGCACGCTTGCCCCATGCTCCAAGGGTCTCCGACCCTATTGGGATGAAGTTATAGCAAGGGGGAAGGTCTTCATATTTGCGGATCTTCTGGGTCTCCCTGTGGCTGGCAGCTCCACCCCCTTCCACTACGGAGCATGGCAAGTAGGTGTCTGCCAATGTGGCAGCACAGGTGTAGTCCCAGGCAATCTGCTTTCCATCCTTCCAGGATAGCAGAGTGGCTCCATCAGGACGCTTTTGACTTCCATCAGACCTCTGCACTTGGGGTTCCCGTTGAGCTGGGCAACGGGCTGTGGTGAAGCTTCTCTTTATGATGTCACTGACCTCCTCATGCCTGGCATACATCCCTTCTGCTGTGTCACACACGAGACCATGAAGTCCGAATTGATCAGCTGTCGCCCTGCCGCAAATACACCTATGTTCGTTGAGGATGGGGGCGGCTAGGCGAAGAGCCTATGGCCTGTGGGTCTAGTCGAGTGCCCAAGGAAGAATTGGGAACAGCTAACAGGAAATCTCCTGAGTTTGGTGCCTTCACTGCCAGGAGACGAGCTTTGTCCTTTCCTGAGGCGTTGGAGAGCATTGTGTTAGCGATTTTTTCCATGATCGGTTTGTCCCAGTGGGGCTGTTTGTGTTCTTTGGGAGGAGCTGGTCTACTGGAGGAATCTGTAAGGGTGTTCCACCAAATCGCTGCTTCAGTAAACCTGGGGTTTTGAGCTCCTACCACGTCTCTCAAGCGTTCGGGAACAATCTTCTTGACTAATGCACTGGAAACCAAACATGAAGACAAAAAAGCAGGTAAAGCAATATGCGTTACTTTGCACCCTTATACCTCCCAGTCACACTGGGAGGGTTGCCTGATCCCATTGCTGATCCTCTAGTGACAGGTTCAGTGCCTTCTTAAAGGTTGACCTCAGGTGTGCATCATATTCGTCGAGTGTTGGGTTGTCAAAAGAGGGTACACACCTCAGGAAGTGAGTCTTGGAATAGTAAGGCACCTTGTGAGGAGATACAGAGCATCATGGACATCAAGATCGCTTATTCTCTCCTCCATTCTCATCAGGACATTCAATTTGTCCTTTAGGACTGTGTCGATGGCCTGGTGACCCAGCGGTGCTCCCGAGAGGGTACTGTTGGACGGGGTGGTAGTAGAGACTCCTGGGAGGATTCTTGGCACAGCATTATTTCCTGGTTTGTCGCGATTTCACACTTGGAGGGATTGAGGATGAGTCCCAAGTCTTCTCCCTGTGTTTTCACCAGTTGTAGGTCCCCTACCAGGGACTCTTCAGTACCTGCCAGAGTGCCATCATCCAGGTACCAGATGTTGAGCTCGCTGGAAGTTAGTTCTCTTACTGCCAAGCAGAAGAGAAGTGTAGCTAGTGGGTCACCCTGCTGAACACCTTCTGATGAGAGAATTTCATGTCCTCCAAACCAAAGAATTGAGGGTTTGCTGCAGCCGGCTGAAATGAAGGGAAAAAACTGGGGAACCGATCCCGAACAGCTGGCAAGACAGCATCTCTCCTCACCATATTAAAAGCATTTCTAAAATCAAGTTTGACTATGGCCTTGTCTTCTGGTAGGTCCCTGATGTAGGCCCTTGCCACATGAGCTGCAGCTTCACTACCTTGAGAGACCCCAAAGCCCAGTTGGTGTGACTGGAGCAAACTGGCAGCTGCTAGGCGAATGTTTCTTACTGCTGCTTTGGCAACGAGACGAGACGGCGAAGAGTGTTTCCAACCGCAATGAGTCTGATTCCCCCATCCTTCTTCTTCAAGGCACATAGTAAGGCTCAAAAAAAGAAAGGTTTAATTTCTTCTGGGATTCGCCCAGCCGGGCAGTTGTTGACGAAAGTTGTTAACTCGGTGAGAAGAATTTATGCAGATGCACCGATTACTGGATTTACCATCTCTTTGAGGTGATGAGGTCGAATTCCAATGTAACCTCCTGCAGATCCTGCTGGAAATGACACAATCGCTTTATAGACTTCTGATTCTGGCAAAATTAATTGTTCAGTGATGGGGTCTTCCTCAGGGTTGTTGTTGATGGCTACGGTGTCCCTGGTTGGATGCTTGTCTCTTAGTGCTTGGGTCGTGGTCTCATCTTTCGGGGCTACAGTGTCGTCACTTGTAATTATTCGGATTGCTCCCACTGTGTTACCTTCTTCAATTTTTTTGCTAACCTGTGGGCAGATTTTCTCGTTTTCAGTGGGACTTTTCTTGGGTCTACCTCTGTGATTCCTGCGATGATGGGGCAGAGGGACATAATTATCCGTTCTTGAGTAGTTGCGCACTGCCTTGATAACTGACGTGGTTAGCAGTTTGCCTTGTCTCTCAGGAACTGCAAGACAGACATTGCCGAACAGGAGTAGGTTGCGCCATGCTTGGATGGTGCCTGGGGCTTCTAAGTTAGTGGAACCTCCATTCACCTACTTAAGAAGGTCTGTGAATTTCCCTGCTGCATATGGGCGAGCCGCTTTAGGGATATGGGATAGGGTACTGCTAGCAGTGGATTTGAATGCCAACAGAAGGTTTTAGCAAGTGAGGAGGTTGCCATTGGAATTGCCATCTGCCTGTGGAGGCTGTGGGCTGCTCTCTGCTGGGGGCATATGTGATCCCGCACACCCATTGTGTGCAAGAATGCGGCCATCCCTGTTGCGTGCTCGAAACTCTTCACACACCTGACATGTGCCTTTTCTTTCATTGTTGGGAGCACCGTTTCCCTGGCTTTGTGGCTGGCTGGCTTCATCTGCCATACCTCAAACTGTGTGGTAAGCCCAGGCTGAAGGGAAAATGGCACATGGCACATACCGCATGTGGTTCATGGTGGTGGTGGGGAGGGGGATAGGGGTCTCCCATCCTTGTGGTGGGCGGTGGAGGAAAGGGAGAAGTGGAAGATGTGTGATGAGGTGGAGTAGGGCACTCACTCCCTCCCAGGACAACCATAATATAAACCTAGAAGATGATTGATCACGTTGACCCTGATCTAAACCTCCATAATCTGACACCCAATCAGAACCTATTGGAAAGTAACTGCCTTTATTACACAGCATCACAAGCCAGCACTATCCTAAACAATGCTAAAAGTCTATCAGTACTTAACTACAACATCAGGTCCTTAAGCAAACACTATGATGACCTCCTGGCACTCCTTGAATCACTAAAGACACCCTTCTCCTGCATTATTCTTACTGAGACCTGGCTTAAGCAGGACACAATAGATATCTACCCTCTACCAGGATACACAGCAATTCACAACTGCAGACCAAACCAAGTTGGGGGTGGTATTGCAATCTATTACTCTAACCAATTATCTTGTATTAGCACCACTTGCTTTAGTGATGAATATGGGGAATACATTTTTGCTAATTTTACTGTAAAAAACCTTAAGACACCTATAACAATGGGTGCCATTTACCGGATACCTCACACAAACATCCCAAATTTCAGTGAGAAATTAAAGTCACTAATAACAAACAGACAAATGAATAAGCACCACCTCCTCTTAGCTGGAGACTTCAACATCAACCTTGGCATACTAGATGATCACCCTGTAACTG